CCGGCTCCCTTAAGCCCGGAGAGCAAGAACCCTTCTAGGCAGAGCCTAGGTAGGGAACTACGGCCAGCATCTTAGATGCGTATCATCAGTGTTGGATGCAATTCGGACCTGCCAGAGTATTCTACTTCGACGGGGAGGGTTCACTTAATTACCCCAGTGCGACCCTACCTAGGAGTTGGAGCATTTAGGGAAGCAACATCTACATCTACACCGACAGCTACAGTTACATATACACGTGCATCTACATCTACATCAACATCAACAGCGAGACTCACAACTACATTTACATCTACACCTACATATACATACACATCTACATCTACATCTACATCTACACATATATCTAAACCTACACCTACATCCACATCTACACCTACACCTACACATATTGCTTGTGATTTGCTTTGCTGTTGCTGCTGTTGTTTGGCCTTTGCTTTGCTGCTAGGGTGTGCTATGCTTGCTATGCTGCGCTATGCTATGCTAGGGTACGCTCGGCTGCGCTGTGTAACGCTAGGATAGGCTATACTATTCTACGCTGCGCGATGCTATGATATGCAATGCTATGCTGCGCTCTGCTATGCTATGCTATGCTATGCTATGCTATGCTGCGCTATGGTATGCTAGGCTATGTCATGATATGCCATGCTACGCTATGCGATGCTATGCTAATGCTATGATGTGATTTGCTGTGCTCTGCTATGCTACGCCACGTTGTGTTATGCTATGATGCGCTGTGCGATGCTAATCATTGCTATGATGTGCTGCGGTATGCTATGCCATGATATGTTATGAAGTGCTATGTTATGCTGAGCAATGCTACTTTATGCTATGATTGGCTATGCGATGCCATGCTATGCTGTGCGACTGCTGCGCTAAGCTAAGCTAAGGTAAGCCAAGCTAAGCTAGGCTGGGCTAAGCTAAGCTGAGCTAAGCCAAGCTAAGCCAAGCTATGCTAAGCTAAGGTAAGCTAAGATGAGATGAGCTGAGCCAAGCTAAGCTAACCCAAGCTGGGCTAGGCAAAGCTAAGCTAAGCTAAGATGAGATAAGCTAAGCTAAACTGGTGAAGCTTAGCTTAGCTAAGCTAAGCTGGGTGAACCCAGGGGACGTAACTGGGGGAACCGCGGGGCGGATGGCGGGGGAAGCGCCCGGGGCGCTATCCGCTGCCCGGGCCCTTTAAGCCCAGAGAGTAAGAACCCTTCTAGGCAGAGCCTAGGTAGGGAACAACGCCACCGCCAAGGCAGTCCTTAAGGCGAAAGGCATTGAGCTGAGGTTACGTGCGCATGGTCAACATGCTACGACAATAGAAGCCAGAAGCGGCATACTACGACACTCACTTCACGTCATGGAAGCTGAACTCAACAGGTTAGACATACCTCTTGTGCTCACACGACAACTGCATGAAGCCTTACCTGAGGTTTCTCCACGCAGCGCGCTGTTTGGACGCAGCCAGCGATGCTACCCGACTTGCCTGCTCTGGACCATGAACAGCAGACAGAAACATCTTACCACTCTCGAGAACAGACTATCCGCCGGGTAAGCATTAAGGCTGTCACTCAAGCCACTGCAGTAGCCGAATCCAACCGTGCACTGCGGACCATTACCACTATCACGGGTCAGCATTACTATGGCGAAGGAGATCTGGTTGACTACCATCGCCCCACTGCTACAAAGGACGATTGGGGAGGCTGGAATGGCCATTTCGCGGTCGTGCGAAATGACCCCGACAAGGGTCAAGTCATCATCGGGGTGGGCGACCGCGATGGGCAAGTCCAATGCGGCGACGCACAACATTCACTATACATCGAAGCTTTGTTCGCTCGAGAAATTGGCTCAGACAACACTGCACGACGGGCAGCATTGGCATTCATCGCCATCACATTTGGTTATATCCCGACCAAACGGGATAGCTGCATATGACACGCGCGAGCCGACCATCTCCTGAGGTACACTTAGTTCTTCAATGCCTCATCAGGAACTTCTCCCGTATTGAGAACGTAGTCTCCGTCGGGTTAACTAAGAGTATTCACAGGCTACCTCCGGTGGAATATGCTGACAGTGGTGCACGGGTGCATTATGACAGCGACGTGAACCCAGGCTTCCACTATTACGCAGCCGAATGCACTGCTTTAAACATATGCGATATAATTGGACCAGCGCAAGCGAGGATCATCCAATGCCTGAAGTTCACTAAACCTCAAGCGGGCTTCGACCAAGACATGACGCAACTTGGAGAACTGGCTGACGCACCGACGCAGGACAAAGACGCCGGAGAAGCCCCATAAGCCGAACCACCGCAGCAGGACGGACGGCTTCCTCTTATGTATAAGGAATCAGAAGCGGACCTTGAGGCACGTATTTTGGATGCGTGGCACGCAGGACTGCAGGAGGAAACAGAGTTACTGGAGGCATCTCCAATACACGACCTCTACACTGTACCCACTCAGATGATCCCCGACAACGGTGTGCTGGTCACAGTAGCTGAAGAACAGCGGGGGCACCGGCCTACGTGGGGTCATCCACGCGGTATCGACGCCACGGAGACAAATCATGTCCCACTGTGCTCCACGGACGAAGACGACACTTGCGGAGTGGGCGTTGACGAGCACGCGCGGTATATAGTTTGTTGATTCACTGCAGACATGCCACAGGTAGTCGTGTCCGAACAACAACACAATATATTAAACTTCGACCGTGTGACCACTGTGCGAGCATGTGCGACCGCTGCCGCCAAAAGAGCTGCAGTCGTCAAGGAGGGCGACCTCTTCGCGAAGGCTGGCATCCAGGCGAATCCAGTCAAGGTTTGTGATGCCCCATGCCCTGGGCTCAAGACACGCGTTGACAGCAAGTGTTTAAACGTGCGAGAAATCCAAACATCATGACTTCGAGATGCGCATGCAAGTGGAAGTTCGCCACGAACGAGAAGAGCGAGATGGAACGGACCATTAGACTACGCCTAGTTCTTGAGGTTTCATTGACATCGAAGCCTTCGGCGCGGAGACTTTGTCAGGGGTGGCGCGGCGGTCAAGTCAGAGGCTACTCGCGAGCGCGGCAGCGTGCAAGAAGCAACGGGCCATTGCTTCCCTTGACATCATCAGGAACTTGCTGAGGCAACCGGTGGAAAGGAACGCGTGGTGCGCTTTTACACTGCCGCGTGGATCAGCATCTGTGATCAGACCCCTCCCAGGATTTGAGCATTGCGACGAGTCGAAACACTTCATGCAGCGCCTCAAACCAGGCGCCGAAACCATGGACGCACCAAGAGCCTTCTCGCTGAAACACAGATAGACCGCGAGAGGGTCTGGTCTCATACCCACGTCCTACGACGAGGAGTTCGAGACAAGTTCCAATATTCGCCCCGTCTTACACGACATCCTGAACTCGTTGGCGCAGGCGCCGACGCCGAAGCATCGAAGGTGCTCGCTGACGTGCATGTCAGCCTCAGAGGCGCTGTGGCTTACGCTTTAATCACACATGCGTGGTTGATTCAATATGTACAACGTGTCCAATAACCGACCAACATGCAAGTGCGATGACTGAGCGCGATGACCAGAAAGTTGCAGGCTTGCCCTAAGAAGATCGCTTACCGTTCGATGACTCCAACGGGCGAGGTCGACCTGCCCAGCGACTCCAGTTAATGGCGTCTTCGTGGAGATGCCGGGGACGAGGTCGAAAGGCTATGGCACTCGCGGGGCAAACCTACTACGGCGTGGAAGCACGCCTGCTGGTAAGCCTGTCGTCGATCTCATCGACGCGCACTGCAGTCTCACCGCCTGCACGTCCGCTCGAGCTACTCAGCGGAGGCATTAGCAGCAGCCCATAACTTGGAGGACTGCTATCGCACGAGCGTCACTCTGCACGAACTCCACGCAGGGCCGCTGGCACTTACTCAGTTGAAATATATACTTGAGAAGGGCGCCCTTTGCATTAAGGTCATTTTGGCCATCGATGCGGGATGCGTCTTCAAGGTGTTGTCGAGCAGAGAGCTGGAGAAATCTACTGAGGGTACTCGTTTGGGACACATCAGTTGGGTACGACAGGCGATGGAGCGACGTATCGCGCATGGTGCACAGTGGTGTGACACTCGTGACATGACTGCGGGCGGCCACACCAGAGGGAACATCGAGCGATATATGTCCTCACAGGTAATGAGAGAAACCTAATTCTTGAAGCACGAGTTAAAACGACATGCTCCGTACAAGGCTGGCCAGACAAACTCGTCTGAGCCGCTTGATGAGCAATCGCTTGCAGGGTGATTTGCCTGCGAGGCAACTTGCTTGCAAGGGCACTTTCTTGCGGGTCAACCTTCCTTGTTGAGCACGCCTGCTGCTGCCGACCTTGTGTATGTAGTGCTTATTGTATAGCGGGCGGCGGACTCACGCTTCGTCCCCCCCCCGATTCTAAGGGAGGCTAGGGCAAAGGCGAGAGATAGCAAACGTGTGTCCGCGGCCCTTTGTTTTCAATCGGCCGGCCGCCATCATATGACTGTGCCTCATCGCGAGGCACACTAGTTGCCATCGAGACCGAACACACTTTCGCTTGTCATGGCCCGTCGCTCCCGCGACGATCTCCTACTTCTGGGACTATCATGCGTACGGTACAACAGAGTTGGATATGGGCTTCGCCTTAGGCGAAGCTTCTGGTTGGGCCCCCCAACCCCCTTCAAAACCCCATGAACTCCCAATAGGCCCCCTAGAGGCCCTCAGGAGGCAGGACTATGTCACGCTCCTGTGTTTGATAGCTTTGTCCAGGATCATCCAGCGCCCCCCCCGGCCTGGGCTAGAACTTGAGCGCGCGCGAAACGCGCGCGATGGTTCTAGAGTGCGTGTGTGTATGTATGTGTATATATGGGGGTTGAGAGAGAGAGAGAGAGAGAGAGAGAGAGAGAGAGAGAGAGAGAGAGAGAGAGAGAGAGAGAAAGAGAGAGAGAGAGTTACCGAGCCTCGAGCGATCCCCCCGTCATAAACAACAAATGATCAATCACCCTCAGAAGCGCTGAGGAGCCCCTGCGCTTCCCTCGGACAAGTCGCCTTCGCCCCAACGCTCTCTTTTGCGGCAGCCGCTGGGTGAGGGAATCAGTCCTTGCTTCCCGCGGCCTGGCATTGGCCAGGCAACGCCGCTGCCTTGCACACCGCCACCCAGAGCCAATGTGAACCCGGGTTTGTCACTCTACAGGATGCATGTTCAAACATAATTGTCAAAACTATGGGGACGTTTTTGTTTTGTTTGACCATGTTGGGGTAGTTTGTTTTACTATGTTTCACTATTCGCCCAGAATCCCTCTGTAGGTGGACATGCCCGACCTAAAGCTAATATCTGCTCTGGAAGGTCAGTATGTCTGCATCCGACTCCCTCCCCTTCCCTGCTCTCCTCCCCAACCTCTTTCTGCCAGCTCTGGCCCGTGTGGTCACGACGGTCTTCAGCACCCCCGGGCGTTGTGCTGTTTTGAGCAGTGGCGCCGCCGAGCGAGAGCAACAGACACAGTTCAAGGGAGCCAGCTCGTTCTCTGCGCTGAATCCAGGATCTCAGACACTTTTATCTCACTTCAGATGGGCCCCTTGTCCACCACCACTACCATACGTAGGAGAGGGAGGAGGAGGAGGAGAAGGAGGAGGACCTCCTCATCCTCCCTTCTCCCCTGTCCTACGTATGGTAGTGGTGGTGGAACATGTGCCCATCAACTTCGCTCCCCACCGCTCCCCACCGCACATGTACCTAGGGTACCGTTGCCAGTTGGCGGGTGGGCGCGCAAGCCATTTAGTGAAGCTGCGTCAAGATTGCTGAGTTCTTGTTTTTGGCACCAGCGGCGGCGGATCCGCAGGGGCGGAAATCCGAGCGATGTTTAGTCCGTAGCGTCGTTGCCCGCCCTCCATTGGCCGACTTCTCCTGGACCCGTCGTGGGCGGGCGCGGCGTTGCTTCTGGTTTTAATTGGCGCCTGCTGGCGCGCCATGCCATCGGCTACAGTGGGAAGCCGTGCCAAGAATCACCCTGCTCGCCTTCGGGGTGCCCTGGGTTTTTTGGGGGTTCGATGGTTTTGCCATGGAAAGCGTGACGCTTCCACACCAAAAATCGATGGACGTCCTGGGGTCTCAGGGTTGGGTTTTTGGTGGAAGGTTTCTTGTGGTCGTCTAGGCCTTCCAGATGGGGTCGGAGTAGATGGGGTTGGAGGAGCGCGCCGCATCACCGATGCATTGACGATGCGGCTCGATGCGGAGCCCGATTTTCTCCACGCCGACGTCGCCGATGTATCGCCGACGTCGGCGATGCATCGCCGATGCATCACCGATGCATCGCCGATGCATCGACAATGTATCGGCGATGCGGCGCGATCCTCCGACTCCATCTACTCCGACCCCATCTAGGAGGCCTCTAGGTCGGGCCCCCACTGTAACTCCGGCGTTGACTGTATCAGGCCGCTCTGCGTCGCGTCGTGCTTGGCACCGCAGCTCATTCTGGGAGCGGGCGCGCGGCCCTTCTTACACAAAAAAGAGAGAAGCACAACAACAAGCACGAGCATCAGCACAGCCACAACCACAGCACACAGGCGCACACACACACACGTATAAGAACACAACCGCGAGCACCAAACGCATGCACGTGCACAAACACAAGCAAAAACACAAGCGCAATCATACACACGCGCACACACATATGCAAACACACAAATAAACACAAACACAGCCAGAAGCACAAAGACAACACACAAACACACAAAACCAATTGCACACGCACACTCTCACACACTCACACACATATACTTTCACACACGTTTCCGTCGTCCGCGGGCAGGTGCATCGCCATCCCGTCAAAGAGGTGTCACAGGCGCGCGCGCGCGGGTCGGTCAAGAAAGTGGTTGGGCACTCGCAGGGTGGTGGCGCCAGCCGCGGCGGGCAAGGCGCAGCGACCGCAGGGCAGTAGGGGGGGAGCTGGGCGCAGGGCGCGCAGCAGCGAGGCGCTGGCACGAAGCAATTCACACCAGGACGCCGTGGGAGCAGAAGCCCACCTGACTTCGGCGAGCTGGAGATAACCCACCAGAGATGGCGGGCGGGACAGGGGTTCAGGACGGACCAAAGGCCAAAGCCCGCCAGCGAAGAAGAGGGGGAAGCGAGGAGTGAGGAGCGACAGCGAGAGACAGACGGACGGATGCGAGGGACGGGGCCGACCGACGGAGGAGGGGGAGCCGAGGGGGAGCAATGGGGCACAGCAGGCCACAAAAGCAAGCCAAGACAACGGAGATGGGAAGGAGCCAGGCGAGGAGGGAGGCGAGGGAGGAAGCGAGGAGGCACAAGACGAAGGCGGGGGGGTAGACAGGAGGGGGCGGCCGACGGCGCGCCAGGTGGACCGCGCGCGGAGCAGAGAGCTGTGCCGCAGGGGGGGGAACGGTGGGGAGAGGACGGGAGGGGGGAAGGAAAGGCGGATTGCCCCCAGCCAGGGGGAAAGGTTCGCGGCAGATTTGATCCCGCTCTGCCAGGCGCGGGATGGTCGGAGGAGAGCCCCCTGCCGGGCGGGGGATACACACAGGCGCTCACGCACAGCGGACGGCCCTCGAAGTCCCCAGGCGGGGAGTGCGGGCCACGTCCGAAGCACTGACTGTCGTGCAGGCCTGCGCACGAGACCGCGCGCGTGCAATGCGGGATGGACACGCGGAGTGCCCCCCCGCCAAGGGGACAGGTGCGTGGCAGAACTTCTCATTCGCACTGCCGGCCGGGGGGTGGTCGGCGTGTGGCAGAATGCACCCCGCTCTCTGAGACGAGACCGGGGAGATTTCGTTCCTTGAACCCGCTTCCACAGTTTCGCCCGACAACGTGGGCCGCTCAGAAAAGGTGAAGCGAGATGATGATGCTGATGGTGATGCTGATGATGATGATGATGATGATGATGATGCTGATGATGATGATGATGATGATGACGATGACGATGACGATGACGATGGTGCTGATGCTGATGCTGATGCTGATTCTGATGCTGATGCTGATGCTGATGCTGATGCTGATGATGATGATGCTGATGATGATGCTGATGATGATGATGACGATGACGATGACGATGACGATGGATGATGATGCTGATGATGATGGTGATGCTGATGATGATGATGACGATGATGATACTGATGATGATGATGATGATGATGATGATGATGATGATGCTGCTGCTGATGATGATGATGATGATGACGATGACGATGATGATGCTGATGATGATGCTGATGATGATGCTGATGATGATGATGCTGATGATGCTGATGATGCTGATGCTGATGCTGATGCTGATGCTGATGATGCTGATGCTGATGCTGATGCTGATGCTGATGATGATGATGGTTCTCAACATCATTCTCCTCATTACCATCACCATCACCGTCATCACCATCAGCACAACATCCTCATCGTCATCACCATCATCCTCATCACCGTCATCATCACCATCACCCAGGGATAACCCCCAGGGTGCCACTCGGACGCGCAGCCATCGAGGATGACCGCCCTCCTGCGGTACATCCCAAAGTTTGGCCACCGATTTTATTGGCCCACCCAATATAATGTCGGGGGTTTGGGTCGCCAGATCCCTTGGCCTTCGGCGGCCCTCGTTGGCTTTCGGCATCCTTCAGCGGTCTTCGGCGGTCTTCGGCGGCCGTCTGCGGCCGTTGGCCGTCGGCGGCTTCCAGCGGCCGTCGGCGGTCGTAGGTGGCCACCAGCCGGGGGGGCGTCTTCTGTTCTTTCGGGCGGAGGGGGGCAGGCGAGGAGGGCGAGCTGGGGGTTGCGAGCGTCGAGCATATTCGGAGAGGGGGTGTCCGCACGGTCTTACTTCGTCCCTCGTCCGCTCTGGGTTCGCCGCAGAAGTGAGTCGGGGAGCTCAGCCAGGGGAGTTGGTGAGGGCTCGTCCCACTGGGGTGCGCGCGGTCAGGCTCGCGGCCACCCCTCGCTCTCTTATCCGCTGCTGCGGATTCCTACGCGATCCGTAATTCTCCATGCCCTCGCGAGTTCGGCGCCGAGACGCGATCCCATGTGTGCGAGACTGCACGGATGCGCTTCGCACGAGGCGTCCGCTCAAAAAGCCGCCCTGCATCCGCGGGGCCGCGGCCTTCGAGACGAGACCGCGAGGCTGTGAGTCTGAGATTGATTTGTCTCTTGCCCGCGAAGTGAGGAGAGGAGGGGGGCCCCAGGCCTTTCTCCCCACACCCCTGGCGGCGCCTGCGGCGCCACCCCTTTCGTGCTCTGCGCGCTGGGGAAGGGTCTGAGGAAGGCGGTCTTCGGCGGCTTCGGCGGTCTTCCGCCATGTCCTGGCGATGCGAAACAACGAGCTGCGCCCAGGCTGATCCCAATTTGGGTCTCCAGGGGCCCGTGTTGGGCCCCGGGATTTTCAGAGAAGCTCAGGATGAGAAGCTGGCCCCAGAGGTCCAGGTCGTGACGTCGGGTGTCGCAGTCCTGCGGGGGAGGGGGGAGGGGGAAGGAGGAGGGAAGGCGGAGGAGGCGGGGAGGAGGAGGAGGTATGTAGACACTTTGGCTCAAGCGTTGCGCAGGCCTTTGGCGCAAGCTTTGGACGCAAGCCACGCTGGGACCCCTACGCGCCACGGCCAGCTCTGCGCGTGGCGACGCTACCGCACATTTCGCTCGCTGCCAGGCCCGCCCCAAGGTCCGATGGCGGACTGAGGGTGCCGCAAGTCGCCGGTCGAGACGTCCATCTCCAGCGTGCTGCCCGTGCCCGTGCCGGCGGCGGTGGTGAGCTGTGAAACGCAGTGGACCGGACGTGCCAGACCGATGTGCCTCTTGGCCGTGCTGGAACTGGCGATACCAGCTTGCGGCTACATCGGCGTCCAGAACGGTGGCGGAAGTCCTTGCCGCTGCGCCTTCGCTGGCGTCGTCGTGCAGGTCGGCTTCGCCATCTTCGCGGCCATGGAGCTCGCCGAAAAAGCAATAGCCAGAACGCATTCCGCATTTATCATCATGTTGGCGACCTCTTGATCATGTCTAGGGCTCTATTGGAGCAGCGAGTTCTGGCAGGAGATTGAGTGCGGCCGCGTGGTGGTCGTGCCGCCGCCAATCACCCCAATGATGACAGGCAGCTCTCAGCTGCATGACTCATGCCCGCTGGAGTGTTTTCACGTCGTCAGACCAAGTGGTAGTCGCACAACATTCTTGGGGCAGCCGCTACACGTCCCTCGGTCGGATGGTGGACGACAAGGAATGGCAAACTACGAGGCCCATGTCCAGGATATTCAAGCACATCGGCGAGGTGAGGCTGGAGCATGCGCTCGCCCCTTCGGCAAC